AGGCAGTGTTGAGAGGAAATCTACAGCTTTCTCATGAATTCTGCGGGGGAAAAGCTCCAGACCAAACCCACAGTGTTCCCTGAAGTTCATCCTACCCCTCCTTTGCGTTTCCGAGGTCCTCTGAGGTTGTGTGAGGCTGCTCCGCTGAAGGCTGACATGTTCTACCTGACACATGATGGCCTGCAGGATCCTTTCCTGGCTTCAGGGGAGAGTACAGCAGGGCTTCCACACCAACAACCACTTCCCATTTCTCCTTTAGTTTATTCATCTGAGAGAAGGAAAAGAGACAGGAGCCATTGTTGTAATTCAGCAGGTGGGATGAGATCTTGGAATTAAAAAAACTACATGAAGTTCCAAACTCTAGATCTGTTTAATGCAGTAATAATCAATTTCACATTCTTTTGCTGCACAGCCCACAAAAAGTCTGAAAATGCCTTCTAAATTTAAAAAGAAGAAAAGTTTAAAGCATACAATTTTAGTCAAATTGAAATGATTAAGGGTGTGAGAAATAGCTCAGGAACACAGCACCTGTCTGGCAAGCAAAACGTCATGATTTTGACTCCTGGAGCAACAAAACAATTAAATTAAAATGATTAGGGCTGGCCAAATAGCTCAGCAGATTAAAGCACCTGCAAGCAGGCGCAGGAGCTGGGGGTTCAATCCCTGGGCCTGCCATACGAGCTCCACCCCTCGGGTGTGCTGAGACAAAGGTTGAGACTGCACCTTGTGGCACGTACCTGTAATCCCAGCACTTGGGAGGCTGTAAACCAGAGAATCACTATGAGTCCATTTAGTAGTAAGACCCTGAACACGCTGTAGATTCTTCCCTAAAATACAGAAAAAAATAAATTAAAGAGATTAAGGACTATTCTGTATGTCCAGATCCATCTCAGGATGTTCAGTAGTTATGCCAGGTGCCATCCACCCTGATGGACTCCATGCCATTTGGAACTGATGAGCACCAGTATTCAGTGCTCCCATAGACTGCGGTGGGAGGAGAGCCCACCTCAGGCTTTGCCCCAGCAGACTCTGCTCCCTTCTCCACTCTGCATCGATACTTACATCACATTGTGTGATCACCCCTGGCTTTAAGATCTGCTTCCCCTCTTCCACTGAAAGAATGTTGGTGTCCATTGCTGCTGGTCTTGTCCACAGGACCTGTGTTTCCCTGCAGAAGATGGAGAACAACACCACTGTCCTTTCTGTATGGCTTCATTCTCCCCTATGTAGGATGCTGTCAGCCCTATCCCCAATCTGTGCCCAACATCTCATCCTGAGCCCTTTCTCAAGAAGGTGATGTAGTGATTGGGTCATGTTAGGCCCAACGTAGAAAGCAGTACTGGTGGCAATAATCAATAAGGACACACACCAAAACAAGTCTGTCCACTACACATAACATGGCTTACATGCATTGGAGGAATTTCACTTATGAAGAAACCTTCATGCTATACTAAGGAACAACTGCAAAAATAACCACATACTTGGGTCAAAGAAAAGTGTACATTAGTTCCTCACTATTTTGTAGTTCAACTTTTGCAGACCCACTGGTGGGTTTTCAAAAAGTATTCACCTAAATTATTTGTCATAGGGTTTTGCTGTATTGTGGGATTTTGAGGTAGTATACAATACTATGTGTGTGTGTGTGTGTGTGTGTGTACGCAGTATTGATTGTTTTAATAATTTTTCCTAACAATTTTTCAAATATATAAAAAATTAACTATTTTAATTCTAACATATTAAAAGAATTTTAAATAGAAATAAAATACACTATTTACAGTATGTATTCCTTTTCAAGATGAATACATACTGTACTTTATGGTATACTTATGTTTTTAAAATTACATAGGTTTATGAGTTTAGAAAATGGTTAAGAACATTAGAGGGTTTTTATAGCGGAAAAGATTTATAAGAGTGTGAGAAGTGTTTATAAAGCCTTAAAACATAAATACTAAAATAAATATTATATTGCTACTTTGCCAATTTTCACTTATCACAGGGTGTCTGGAATGTAACCTCCATGATAAGTGAGGGACCAACACATGGACCCATCTTACCCTGGTTGGAATTAATAATTGTTTAATTTTACATTGATACAAACATGACATTAGTAATCTTACTAGACTATAAAATTTCCTTGGGAAAAGATAGGAAGGGTTCAGAGATGTCACTTACAAGAGAAGCGCTGAAATGCCTTCAGCAGTTCTGTATGAGAGATCCTGGTCAGAACTCAGAAGACCAAAATACTGATAGAAATCCTGCCTCTAAAGACCAGATTGGGGATATTTCTCCTGTAAAGAAGGACTGCATTGGTTGTTGGACTCCAGACAATGTCTGTTATGACTTGGCTGAAAGTTTGTCCAAATTTTTCTTGTATCCAGAGACTAAGACTGAGAGTAAGTGTGATGGACTGATTAATCTGGCAAAAGAAATTTCAAGGCAGTTGAATGTTGGGGCAGTGACATGACTATTGTTAAGGGCTTTTAGTCAGATTTATGTTGAGAAGCTAAAGCAAAGAACCCAACAAGATGACTTAAAATGTTGTGAATTTGGCCAGAAAGGAAGTACCAATAAAGCTGTGGACTGCAAAGACAGAGCTGAGAGGTTCTCCATAGCTATAAAGGAATAGGAGAATAGAAAAGATGCCTGAGGGCATCACAAGGAGCAGCAGGACTCTACTCTTTGCAGCTTCAAACTGCAAAAGTGAAAGAGTTTGCTTGGAGAAGAAAGCTGCAGAGTGCTGTGTACTAGAATGCAGGCAGCAGTCAACCATGTTCCAGAATGGCAGCGGCATAGAGAATTTTTCCCTCAGAATCAGGGCCAGATTGATCAGTGATGCAGGAACTAGACCACTACAGTCAAGAGAAAAAGAAAACCTGGCTACGGCTTCAGCTGGCAGCAGATCTCAACCTCATCCACATGGCATTTGTTTTAGGTGCATGCAGAGTGCAGGAGTTCTGAAGTTCAGAAGGCTTCTACCTAGATTTCAGAAGGCCTGGGAGGCCAGGCAGTGTGTGCCTATGAGGGCAGAGCGTGAAGCAGAGAGTGAAAAGCTTAACATTCACTGGAGACCCCAGAAGTTTGGAAAAGCCAGGAATGTGGATCACCTAAGGGAAGTTGCAAGGAGGGAGCAAAGCTGGTCTAAGAGAGAAGCCACGGGAGCTACCACAAGTTTCAAAGGGGCAGAGCCATGTAAGGCTTTTGGAGCTCACAATTTTCCACAGATTGCTTTGAATGTTCCACATGGAACTACAGGACTTAATGTTTGCCCTTCTGTATTTTGGACTTGATTTAGTCTCATGGCTTTGTATCCCCTTGTTTGTACCTTTTGGAATGGTAATGTTTATCTTGTGCCACTGAATGTTTGAAGTGTTTAACCATCTTTTCAATTGTACAAGGGCTCACAGCTAAAAGTTTGCCTTAGAACTCAGAGGAGATTTAGGCCTTGGAAATTGCTGCAATGCTGAAACTCTTAGGACTTTGGCAACTCTTAGAAATGGACTGAAATGCTTTTGCATAAAGGGATGTACATGAGTCTTTGGGGAGCCAGGGGTGGAATGCTAAGTTTTGTGTCTGGTTGTTCCCACAAAGCCTCATGTAGTTATAGGTGAGACTTCTAGAGTTTGTGATTAATTCACAATCCAGTGCTGGGATTATGGGTGTGAGTGCTACTGAGATTATGGGTCTAAGTGCTGCTAGGATTTCAAAACAGATTTGTAAACATAATGCTTCCCTTTTCAACTGGCAGCACTTTGAAAAGACACAAGGATGAGACAACACAACTTGAGTCAACATTGTTCAGACTCCTGTATTTTTGACCATAGAACTTATGTTCCCTCATCATAATGCAAGTGATAGTTGAAATCAGCATCAACAGATAAACTCCATGAAATGAAAGTTTGTGCTATTTGATGAATCACAGTATGTTATGGTTAAATATATATTCCTGGCATCCAGGATGAAAAAATATTTAAATATATATCTCATGTAGGTAATAGCTTCTTCTTTTTTTTTTTTCCAGAACCGGAGATTGAACTCAGATCCATGAGCTTGCCAGGCAAGCACTTATTCTACTGAGCCATCTCCCCAGCCCCGGTAATAGCTTCTTTGCATATCTCTCTTCAAAACAATACTTTATAGCAGTATATAAATAGTTTACCTACACATTTCATTTTATAATTTTGCCCCAAAACTATAGATCTGTTTCATTTTTAAAACATCGGGGCTGGGGAGATGGCTCAGTGGAATAAAAGCTTCCCTGGCAAGTGCAAGGTCCTGAGTTCAATCCCTGGTTCCGAAAAAAAAAATATGAATTTTTTTCCAACATTAATAAAGCTGGCAAACTTTGAAATGGAAATGCTTTTGTCTTCCATAGTAGCAGTAGCCATTCGACAGGAAACAACACCCTCCAGTAACACTCATCAGTTGTTTAACCTGAGCGTCTGGCCTCCCACGAGGAGCAGCTGTTTCCTTCAGGCACACGCACACGCACACCCACGTCACTTCTGCGCACACACAGGTGGAGCACACGCTTCCAGGCGCGGGGAGACCGCGGGCTGTGCTCATCTGGAAGCAGTGTAGCTAATGATCAACCACACGACGTACACGACTAGTTGCTCTAATTGTTAATATCCAAGATTCTTGCCTATAGAAACCTTGGATTATATTGAGCAACTGCTTGTAACACTTCTGTCAACTTGCAGGTGCTGATTTAAGCCATGGTCTGCTTTAGCAATGTGCATAATAACTGTGCATACCTTTGTTCTTTCACTAACAAGTTCTGCTCCATCATCCCAGATAACTAAAATTTTACTGAGGTGCCACGCGCTTGCCTTTCACTTTTCTCAGGACTCTAAATTCATCCTCTCAGGATCTTGCATCCTCTTCTTTTCATTCATGTGGCTCTTCCCTCTCAGGCCTACTCAGGATGTCCCTGCTTGGGGTATCAATTGCCAGGGACTTGGCCAAGATCTCCAATTGTAAAAGATGAACCAAGAGGCAGAGTTCTTTGGCAGCACATATACTAAAATTGAAACGATACAGAGAAGATTAGCATAGCCCCTGCACAAGGATAGCAAGCAAATTCGTGAAGCATTCCGGATTTTTATCTCCTCTTCTCTAATCTTCAGGAAAACTGAGGCTCTGATAAAATAATAAATAATAAGTAAATTAAAAAGAAGCTGCATAAGCCATTGAAGACCCTTTCAGTTATAAAAGTAATAAGAGACAATTTAGTATGCAGGGAACTTCAGAGGATGAAGTAAGAGTCAGTTTGGTAATGTGTGGAGAGAGCCTGAGAGTTCAGTGCCTCAGAGTAGGCAAAACAAGGATCTCTTCAGCTAGCTGACTTTACTGAGCGTACAAACACATTTTCAAGGGCCGGGGAGATGGCTCAATAGGATAAGTGTTTGGCTGGCAAGCACAAGGATCTGAGTTCAATCCCTGGTTCTGAAAAAAACAAAAAACAAACAAACAAACAAAAACAACCACATTTTCATAGTGGGGTAGAGGGCCTTTTCTGGAGTGGGGTGGCAATTGCGGTGGGCTGGTAAAAAGAGCCAGGATGAAACAAAGATCAATAAGGAAACTAATTTTCCCCAAGAGAAACTGTTACTACCCCTGTCACCTTGCTTTCAAGATTTTTGTTATCCTCAGTAGCTCTTATCTTTTAAAATATTTTTTCTCTTGCCCTCTCAGTGCCACAGCATCACTAACCACAAAGCTTTAGCTTTGACTGGCAGAGAGTATGGAGTTTTCACATTCCAGTCCAGTTTACAGGGGGAAAAACAGCAGAATGGATGTGCTCGCTGTAGTCTACTTGATACAAATTGTGGTTTTCGGGGAGCTTCTATCTGCTGACCCGTTATCTCATCCCCTATTCACTGGGTGCAAGCCAAGTTCCACAGACATGATCCTCCGACTCCTGACAGTGGCCATCTGCCTAGTTATCCTCTCGCAAGGAGTCTTTCAAGTGATGGTGTGTTTTGGTTAGACATGTCCTCAAAGATCTTGGGTGTAAACGGGTTTCCTGTGTTCACAGGGCAGGCACGCGTGTGTCTATTGGGAGCACCCGGCCCCTGAGTGTCTTTCAGGAAACCTCTATTCAGGCATCCAACAACGCAAACCCTATTTAGGAATCCAAGTGCCAGTCTCGATAGTAGGGATCACTTGCATCTATTTTGCGCTTTATAGCGATGGAATTGTGCAAAATGAACTCTTCTGCTTGGCTTCTTGCATTACCTAAGTTGGTGGGGAATACATCTGTCTTGTCCTTAGAAGTGTGCACCATTCTGTAGTTCTCTTGTATAGGATTCCATTTTGTAAATCTTTTAATTTTACCATCCCATCCTGTTATCTTTGGGAATAGTTTTAGGCAGGATACTATGATGTATACTCTATTAACTTGTATTTTGATCAGACATGCTACAATTGTTGAATCACAGGAATATATCTGTCTTTTATAAGGAGTACCAAAAGATTTGTACCAATTTTCACAACGCTCAGCAATGGATGAGATCACTGATTCATCGACATCTTTGTTAGTATTCTTTATGTTTTAGTTTCCAATTCACCTTTTTCCTTGTGTGCTGATAGTTGATCTTATTTGTATTTCCCTGATTCGGAAGGATCATTGAGCACTGCTTCCCTTATTACAGGTTGGGTTACCCCTTTTTAAAAGGTATAGTTAATTTGATTAGTTTGGGTTTGTCTTTATTGATTTCTCTAGGATGACTAGACACCTTTTTCGGTTTCTCACTTGAATTTTAAAATTTTACAATAATTTGTCATTTCTTCTTTCATATTTTATTTTTCTGAAAAAAAAATCAAAACTTTTTATAGGAAAACTTCTTTTTAGACAGCCTCTTGGAGCACACATAGCCACAGCTCTTCTGGAAGCTGTGTCAGAAGGATTCCAAATTCCAGATCAGGCTGGGAAATTTAGTGAGACTCACTCCTGATTTCCATTCCCAGTTTTTTTAAACTAAACTTTGAAATAGTTGCTAAAGAATGAGAATCTTTTTTGGACCAAAACCAAGTGCTATTAGGCTGTTTTCTGCACATGTGGAACTTCTGGGTATTTTCCCAGAATTAAAAACATCATACCACAGTCATATATGTGCGCCCATGTTCATAGCAGCACAATTTGTCAAAACTAAATCTTGGAAACAACCCAAATTCCATCAACTGAGGAATGAATAAAAAAGGTGTGGTCTTTTTATACAATGGAGTACTACTCAGGTATAAAGGATACACTTAGAGACATTTATAGGAAAATGGATGCAACTTGAGACTATACTCATAAAGTGAAATCAGACTTGTATGTATAAACATCTTGTCTCCCTACAGAAAGAAGCTAAAAGAGTAAATAAGACCCAAAATGTGCAACGGACATTGTGACATGGAAGGAAACTACTCAACAAGGAACAAAAACTGGGGTAAAGGAGAAGGGAAAAAAGATATCTATGTATATATTATATATAAAGTTGAGCTACTAATTGCTATTAGTTCAATGAAAAAGTTTGTGCCTATATAGTTTGATCAATTTTTCACACCTATATCTTGTAATTCAAGCAATTACTTTGAAGATAATACACAATGTAATAACCACTGTTACTTTCTTACAATCTTGTTTTGAAATTTTGTACCACTGTAATCTTAAATTTTTTAAAAAAAAATTATTGTTATCTATGTCAACACGCTTAAGATGTATTCTGTATCTTGGGGTCTTGGGTGACTAAGGCAGGAGAATTGCCGTGAGTTCAAGTCCAGCTAAAAGTACTGAGACCCATCTCAAAAAAAAAAAAAAAAACAAAACCTAGCCTTGATTTCTCTGAAGAGAAACTGTATTCTATGTAACTATAAATTATATAGAATTTGGGGCAGGGGAGGAAACTGGAAGAAAAAAATAATTGAAAGGGAAAAAATGAAAATAGTTTTTGCGAATGGAAGAGTGACTGAGAGTTAAAAGGAGCAGGGAGGAAGAGGAAGAATGGAGGACAGTGGGTGGGAAAAGAGAAAAAATTAAAATGCATTATATGTGTCAATCCCATAACTACAATATTTATGTACTGCAAACATGTACTAATACAAAAATGAAAAGTGTCTTGTTCTGAGTTCCTAGACACAGTAGGATACGCTGAGTGCCTAATGGAAGCCAAGGAGGTATGGACTCCCAGTCTTTAGCTGCAAAATCATAGTCCAGTCCAGTGGGTAGGTATCTTTTGGCATAACTCTCCTATGCTTGGCATGGATAGTATGTAGCTGATGACTCCAAAGCAGGCAAGCAAGCTAGGAAGAAAAGACTAGCTCTGTTCCAGAGGTTTTGGTAAGTCTTGCCCTAAGCCCTGGCTGATCCTCTAGAACATACAGAAATAAAAAGAAAATAGGACTTTTTTTTAGGTCTCAGAAACCTCCTGCAAAGCACCAATAGGTGTGTACTATTTTGAAGTCATTAATTTCTCACCCCAGATGCTAAAGTGTGCAAAAGGTTCAGTGGATCTCTAAAGACTTTTAATGCCCCTGAGCTCCTTCACACCAGGCCAGTCTGACCAGCAGACAGCATGCTCACAGTGGCTTTCACATTTTCTGCCACCAGAGGCATTGTTGGTGGGAGGTTTTGCCAGAACCCTCTTGAGAAAGCTCACTTATCCTTCTATTTTAGGTGGGCACATAAGATCTAGGCAGCCCCCTACTGGTCCAATAGAGGCAGCTGCAAACACTCCACCTCTCCTCTATTTTCAGAACATGCAAACACATCTATCTATGACATCCATCCCTAGTGAACTTATTTTTTAAATATTTTTAATTTTTTAATGTATTGGGTTGTCACAGGATCTCACTATGCAGCTCGGACTCATAGTGACCGTTTCCCACCTCCTTAGCATTGGGATTACAGGCATATGCCACAATGTCTGGACTCTGTGGTCAACTCAGCCCACCCTGGGTGCAAGGCTGTTCCAGCATGTAGTGCCAGAAATCGAACCACGGTCCCTGTGCTTGCCTAAGCAGGTGCTTTAGTCCACTGAACTATCTCGCAGGTCCCATGAACTTATTTTAAACTACTGCATATTATTACTGTGTGTACTGCACTGAGATGAAACAAAACCATGTGGAAAAAAGAAATAATTCAGAGTAAAAGATTAAATTTTATTAAAACATTAGATCAGTAATATATTCTGAATAAAGCAATAGCAAGCTAGCAACACCAGCAGTTAAATGTAATGACCTTCAAGAAAATGCTATTTGTAAAATTATTCATCTTTGTGGTATTGATGATTGAACTTGGCCTCATGCATGCTAGACAAGTATTCCACCACTGAGCTATATCCCACCCAGACCCTATTCTGGTTCTTCCAATTACAATCTACAGTATAACTGATCTTTCTTCAGCTTTGAAAATTACATCATTCATTAATGATTTCCTCCATGATCTTTACTGTCACTCAATGCAGAAAGTGGTCACCATTTTTCTTGTATTATTTTTTCCACAATTGGTCCCTAATAGTTAACATCATAATCATTTGGCAGAGTTTATTCCTATTAACAATGATTTTACAGACACAATGTACACAAATGAATGTGACTTGTCATAGTTTTACCTTATTCTCTGCCTTTTCCAGTTGCCAGTTTAGTCAATACTTAAGTTTCAAAGGCAGACTCCTTTTTGGATAGTATAGACATGATCCTTACATAATGAAGCCCCTTCATCTTACTCATTTTTTCTTAGAGACCACAATGAAAGACCTTTCAGGAAGCCAGAATATTAACAGGGCTTACAGTTCAGGTTCCGAGTTATACATAGTAAAGTAACCTCAAGAAACCTCACATAATAGGATACAGCATTTTATAACCTAAATAGGCATTTCTGAACATCTTTGTATCTTTTTTGTATTTCAGGGCATGAGTTTTCATGTATTTTTAATTGGAAATATTCTGCAGAATGTAATATAGTAAAGAGCCAGAGACTGAGTTGTTCTCAGAATAAATCCTCACCTAGAGTTATTATCATTTGGAAACAGTCTTACTACATAAGTGCCTGCCATTCATACTTTCATCAAAGATGTGTATTTTGCTGGCTAGTGGGAGACTCAGATGAAAGCCTCTGCTGTATAATTCCTAAGATTTCTTTTTACCATAGACTCTGACATCTAATGTTTTAATTACTGATGAATGCATTTCAACAGTCATTTTATTTATAAAGATTCTTAAAAATGAAGTCTCTGATGCTATACAAGTACTTGTGACTGAATACATTCACTTATAAGGTTTCTGTCCAGCATGAATTCGCCTATGACTTGCAAGGTTGGAACTTCGACTGAAGACCTTGCCACAGTCTTTACATGTGTAAGGTTTTTCTCCAGTATGAATTGCCTGATGGGTAGTTAGGCTTGAACGCACACTGAAAGCTTTGCCACATTTATCACACTTGAATGGTTTCTCTCCTGTATGAGTCCTCCGGTGACTCGCAAGGTGTGAGTTCTGGGTGAAGACCTTGCCACACTCAGCACATTTGTAAGGTTTCTCTCCAGTGTGGATTGCCTGATGAGTGGTCAGGCTGGAATACACACTAAAGGCTTTGCCACACTCATTACACTTGTAGGGTTTCTCTCCAGTGTGAATTCTCCGATGATTTGCAAGGTGTGAATTTTGAGTGAAGACCTTGCCACACTCAGAACATTTATAGGGTTTTTCTCCAGTATGGATTACCTGATGGGTGTTTAGGTTTGAATGTGAACTGAAGACTTTGCCACACTCATTACACTTGTAAGGTTTTTCTCCAGTGTGGATAACCTGGTGGGAAGTTAAGCTAGAACGCACACTAAAGGCTTTGCCACATTCATTACATTTGTAAGGCTTCTCCCCAGTATGAACTCTCCAATGCCTTGCAAGATTTGAAGTCTGACTAAAGACCTTGCCACACTCATCACACTTGTATGGTTTTTCTCCACTATGAACTCCTCGATGACTCGCAAGGTGTGAGTTCTGGGTGAAGACCTTGCCACACTCATCACATTTGTAAGGTTTCTCTCCAGTGTGGATTGCCTGATGGGTGGTGAGGCTTGAGTATACACTAAACGCTTTGCCACACTCATTACACTTGTAGGGTTTCTCTCCTGTGTGGATTCTCCGGTGATTTGCAAGGTGTGAATTTTGAGTGAAGACCTTGCCACACTCAGAACATTTATAGGGTTTTTCTCCAGTATGGATTACCTGATGGGTGTTTAGGTTTGAATGTGAACTGAAGACTTTGCCACACTCATTACACCTATAAGGTTTCTCTCCAGTGTGCGTCCTCCGATGAATTGCAAGGCTTGAAGTCTGACTGAAGACCTTGCCACATTCATTACACTTGTAAGGTTTTTCTCCAGTGTGGATAACCTGGTGGTTAGTGAGGTTTGAACGAACACTGAAGGCTTTGCCACAGTCACTACATTTGTAAGGTTTCTCCCCAGTGTGAATTCTCCGGTGACTGGTAAGGTGTGAATTCTGAGTGAAGACTTTGCCACATTCATTACATTTGTACGGTTTTGCTCCAGTGTGGTGTCTCTCATGAACCAAAAGGTATGAACGTCTGAAAAATGCCTTACCACATTCAATACATTTGTACAGTTTCTCTCCTGTATGAATTCTTCGATGATGTGCTAAAGATGAGGTGTAACTAAAGACCTTGCCACACTCATTGCATTTGTAAGGTTTCTCCCGAACATGAGCTTTTTGTCTCTGTGTGAGTAATGAAGAACGTATCAAATCATTTCCACATTCCTGAGAAATATGTGCTTTGTGTGCTTTGACAGCAGGAGAAATTCTGTGGAGTACTGAACGTGAGGAACCATTGTTGACAGACTTCTCAACTTCATCACTATCAGTTTTTCCTTCACACTGAAGTGTCTGCAGCTCAGGCAAATGTTCCTGAAAGCTTAAGCCAAGCCAATTTTTCATAAGCTTATTTTCTTCACGCTTTTTACAACTTTGATCTCTTCCACCAGTGAGACTTTCTTTCTGAATCACAAGCACTCTATTGTAATTTCTTTCATCATCTTTCTTCTCAAAGTCGAAGTCACGTATATCTCCCTGCACATCCACGAATGCAAAGCCTTTGATGGCATTCTTTCCATGCCTTTCCAACATCACTCTTTTGCATGTGTTTCTTGTATTGCTCTTCTCTTTTGATGATGATCCCTTGATTACACATTTAGAAGAGATGTCTACAAGATATAACATGACATACATTTCTGATTAATGTGACTTAAATTCATATTGAAAAAGATAGCTAAAAAATACATTTTTAACTTATGAAAGGCAATTACATATAATTTCAATAAAAGAAAAACCTATTTTCAAATAAACTATCATCAAAATGTTAGCTGTGAAAAGACTATTTTTCTACCATGGCCCCAGAGCACACACTAATTGCCAAAAACCTTATGGTCACTTCATAAATGAAAAAAAAAATTGTATTTACAATGCATAAATAAATCCTGAAATACCATATGATATACTATAATGGTAAACAACCCACAGCAAATATATGTAATGAGTCAATGAATATTTAATTTCAAAGCAATATAAACAATAGGTCAAAGAGGAAGAATTTGATAAAATGATGCCAGAAAAAAAGTTTCAGAATTTTTTAAAAATTTATTTATTCTATACAAGGTCTCAGATTCATAGTGATCCTCCTATCTCAGCCTCCCCAGCACTGAGATTACAGGCGCGTGCCACCACGCCCAGTTTTGGGTCCAGCAAGGCTCACCTGGGGTTCCAGGGCCAGCACAGCATGTGGTACTGGGGATCAAACCTGAGTCCTTGCACTTGCCAGGGAGACACTTAGACCCAGCTCCTTGTTTTGGAATTTTTGTTATAAAACTACCCAAAACTACACACTGCAGGAGTTTTGTAATATTAATGACCAGTACATGATAATTATATTGTATAATACATGCTGCAAAATCATTTATAGGTCATCATAAAATTAAAAAAATTCTAATAAACCATGATAAAATAACCAGGCAAACAGAGAATAACTATATTTACATAAAATTATCGACTGTAAGTAATTTTCTTTTTTTTTTTTTCTATATTTAGGACAGAGTCTACAAGGTCTCACTACATAGATCGGACTCAAAGTGATTCTCCTGTTTTCAGCCTCCCAAGCACTGGGATTATGGGTGCGTACTGCCACACCCAGTCTCAGTTGTCCCAGTGCGCCCCACGGGCAGGACCAGCATGGCATACTGGGGATTGAACCCCGGCCACTGCGCTCTGCCTAAGCGATCAGGCCAGTCCTTTGTAAGTAATTTTCTTTTAAGAAAAAGCAAAGTATGCCAGCTTTGGTATGCATGCCTACAACAGCAGCAGTCAGGAGCTCAAGGCAAGAGGATGGTTATGAATTCAAGACCAGTCTGAGCTACATAGTGAGCACAAGGCCAGCCTGAAATACATAGTGAGATGCTGTCTCAAAAACCTGATGGGTGTTTAGGTTTGAATGTGAATTAAAGGCTTTGCCACAATGATTACACTTGTACGGCTTCTCTCCAGTGTGAATTCTCTGGTGAATTGCAAGGCTTGAAGTCTGACTGAAGACCTTGCCACATTCATTACACTTGTATGGCTTTTCTCCAGTGTGGATAACCTGGTGGGAAGTTAAGCTAGAACGCACACTAAAGGCTTTGCCACATTCATTACATTTGTAAGGCTTCTCCCCAGTATGAACTCTCCAATGCCTTGCAAGATTTGAAGTCTGACTAAAGACCTTGCCACACTCATCACACTTGTATGGTTTTTCTCCACTATGAACTCCTCGATGACTCGCAAGGTGTGAGTTCTGGGTGAAGACCTTGCCACACTCATCACACTTGTAAGGTTTCTCTCCAGTATGGATTGCCTGATGGGTAGTGAGGCTTGAGTATACACTAAACGCTTTGCCACACTCATTACACTTGTAGGGTTTCTCTCCTGTGTGGATTCTCCAGTGATTTGCAAGGTGTGAATTTTGAGTGAAGACCTTGCCACACTCAGAACATTTATAGGGTTTTTCTCCAGTATGGATTACCTGATGGGTGTTTAG